GTACGTATATATCTATATATAATTATATATATATATATATATATACGCGTGTGTCTGTGTCTGTGTCTGTGTCTGTGTGTCTGTGTGTCTGTATGTATAAATATATATATATATATATATATATGTATATGTATATATACGTGTGTGTGTTTATGCGTGTGTGCGTGTCTTTCTATCGTTTGATATTTTAATTCATATAGATGCTTATATGTATACATATACCTACAGTTATACGTATATCTGTACATATTCATGTGAATTTTTGCATAAACTTTCCATTAATGAGCTTCACTATATCGTCCTGGTACAAAGATGTCATTTTCTGCATATTCTGGATAGTGGTTTGTTTAAATTGTGTGGTTCTTCTCGCACCACGTGTCCATACATGTGCCACAGTATGTGTACCATAGGAGACGCCTTGGTCGAGGCCGTATCATATTTCTCATGTACATCTGCATGCGTCTCCGGTCTTCACATCTCAATGTGTATGGTGATGAGTGCATGTCGACTGACTCCACTTGGGCTTGCCCCTGGTTACAGTACCCTGCTATCAACGAGTCAAAAACGTTGAGGACATCAAACACGACGAGGTGGATGTGGAAGACGAAGGTGGAGATGGCTGGGTGGATACGTTCCACTCGAGAGTTGCAAGTATGTTGAGCCACCCTTTTGTCATCTGTACGTGTCTTTGCCTGCACACCAGAAGTGCTAGGTGCATATGATCGCGAGGGCCGGGTGCACAAATCATCTGAAAGAGCCTTCTGGCGCAGTTCTGCCCTTTTTGTTTTGGTGCAGTTTTGTCCTTTTTGTTTTGGCCGTGGTGTACAGGCGGGCGTGTGCAACCTATCGTGTAGAATTAAGGCATTAGTAAGCCGTCGACAATAGATTCGGTGTTGTGATAGGTCTTTAGATTTTGGTAAGACGTAGTGTTTGATCTGTGTGTGTTAGAAAGTGGAAATCGGACGCTGCAAGGTTGTTACTTTCAATAAGATCACACACGGCTACGAATACTTTACGTTTGTATTCGCAATTAGTGAACCTTGTGCCCACTTGGACGACTGCTTCTGCACTGTGATCTGCTCTTACCATCACACAACATCGCATGTGTTGCAGACACCTCTCGGGTACCGCTTTCTGCTGAGCACGACTGTGCTATACTACTTTCGAACACAGAGTGTGCTATACTCGAGCACGAGTGTGCTTGAGTGTGTTCTATGCGCTGTGTTTTTGTAGAGCTTCTGGTTTTATGTTTCACTTGTCAGCCTGTCCAATGCTGTTGGAGTGTATCATGCACATAAGAACGTTGTAAACATACACCGATTCTGTTATATTTTGTTACCGGCTCACCAGACACAACTCTCTTGTGCTCTACCATTATACCCATAGTTTGTCTACTCTTCTCTGTTATTGGGGTTTAGGGTTTAGGGCCACGTACGGACCCATTTTGTACTTTTCATTCATATAAGCGGAAACGCTCACAGCAATATCAACATCTTAACCCCCTGATCACGTATGTATGTCTTACAGCCACTCAATTGGAAGCGGAGCTTAAAGACATGACGCTCAATGACACAGTGCGAATACAGCCCATCGAAGTCGCTGACGACGACTCGGACGATGATTCCGACGATGTACCAGATATGGATGATTTCGAAGACGACAACTTACAGGAAGATGAAGAGGTAGGTATCTGTGGACATATGGGCACGTGTTATGTATATAGGCTATGTGAGAGGGGAGTGGGTGTGTATTGTGTGTGTGTGTTGTGTGTGCGTATATTAAATTTGTGGTCTTTTCTGGTGATTACAGTCCTGGTGTCGCTCAATCGATTCAAAGCACCATGCGTCGGAGTTCTATCTGTAGCAGCGCACTAGGCTATTACGGAAAGCGTATGATACTGGCGCAAATGGCTCAAGATCTGTCCAGTCGGATTGAGCATGTATATCACTCGATCAACTGCTATAAATACTCACATCACTATCATACTGCTTTCTATTCACTGCAGAGCGTTGTGAGGCCCAAAGAAGAGGATAATATCTTAAAGACACGCACATACGACATATACATGACGTACGATAAGTACTACCAAACGCCACGCATGTGGCTCTACGGCTACGACGAGGTGAGAGATAAAACGCAACCCACAGGCGCATGCGATGTGTCTGTGTGCTTGTTTGCTTGGCGAATTGAACTACCATGTGTCCGCATTGCTTGTTTAAGGCGCCATACTGGATGCTGAACGATGATTGTGTGTGCGAGTTCTTCCATTCACAGCGTCTGTTGGTTGTTTGTTTGTTTCATACTATCTGAAAGTGTCCGTCACACCACGAGTGTGCCGAGTTCACGAGGCAGCAGTGCATAGAGTCGTGCAACGCTTCAGTTAACAAGTCGTACTACTATTCAATATGTATTTTCAGTTAATGAGTCGTATTACTGTTTGACATGTATCCTCAGTTAACGAGTCTTACTACTATTTAATATGTATTTTCAGTTAACGAGTTTTACTATTATTTAATATAACGCTTCAGTTAACAAGTCGTACTATTTCTTAATATAACGCTTCAGTTAACAAGTCGTACTACTATTTGATGTGTATCCTCTTTTCTTGGTATTCAGCACGGTCGGCCCCTGTCCGAGAGAGCGATGTTCGAAGACTTCAGCCAAGACCACGCACGCAAGACAGTGACTATGGAATCGCACCCACACATCAACCTCACAATGGCCAGCATCCACCCGTGCAAGCACGCCAATGTAATGAAACGCATCATAGACAACATCGCGGGTCAGGGCAGAGAAGACCTACCGGTGTATATGTATCTGATGATCTTCCTCAAGTTTGTGGCTAGTGTCATCCCCACCATCGAATATGACTACACCCGACAGACGGAGATGTGAATAGGCTGGTGCAAAGTAATAAATGTCATGCTCGGGTCACAGTATTGTATTTGTCGGTTTTAAACACCATACAATTGGACTATCGAAGGGGTTATGGACCTGAGTATTTGTTTATTTACTGTTAACATTCACAGACTGTTGTTCTCGTGCTACAATGGGGCTTCAATCTGATTCCATGCACGTTCCCAGAGGCAACGAACATGACACAATCTTTGTTGACATACATTCCAAATCGGGACGCATAGCAATTAAATTGTCATGTGGCGACTCGTGTCACCCTGGAACATATATACATATATATACATAAACAAGTATATACAAAGTATATGTACGTGCACAATCAAAATACTGTATATGTGTATGTGTATGTATTTATATATATATACGTGTACAAATAAAAATTCGAACACAATATAAATATATAAACAC